TGGTGAAATCTGAGGGTTTCATTCAACAAAAGTGGCTGACTTTGGACAAGGGACAGGGTAATAAGTCCAGATTATGCAGCTTTTAGCTGCCTGGCTATATTCATGGGAGAAGCTTGGAGAAGCTTGAGCATTTTAAGGGACTGTATTGCACAGAGCCACCTTCACAAATAAAGTGTTTCTGACAGCAGCTGAATGAAAATTCAGGTTTGAGGTCTTGCATGAGGACGGAGAGCAAAGGATAAAAAAACAACCCTGCTCATTATATCACCACAGTAAGAATGAAATCTCAATCGTCGTTATTTGTCATTAGGACTGACAAGGCAGTATGTGGATGCAGGGGGAACAAATGGAAAGAGAAAATGTACAGGTCATTAGAAACCCAGGGGAGGAAAACAAACAAAAAGAAATGTGAAGGAGAACAGGAAAATGAACATAAGAAGTTCAGCCCATCCGTCTCTTTTCCTGCGGAGACTCAGACCCTGGAGATGGTTGATGTGGATCTTCCTGCACAGCCTGGACCCCATGCAGCGTGGAGATCTCTAAGGCTGAGAATAGCTTCCTCACCTGTAACTTAAAAAAAAAAATTGACATGGTGCCAGGGTTGGTGGCTCTGTTGGTTAAGCGTCCAACTTTGGCTCAGGTCATGATCTCAGGGTTCACGGGTTCGAGCCCCGTGTCAGACTCTGTGCAGACAGTTTAGAGCCTGGAGCCTGCTGCAGATTCTGTGTCTCCCCCTTGCGCTGCCCCTCCCCTGCTCTCATTCTCTCTCTCTCTCTCTCTGTCTCTCTCAAAAATAAACATTTTTTTAAATGTTTAAAAAAATTGTCATGGGGAGCACCTTGAAGGCAGCCCACCTTTGGGAACTTGGGGGATTAAGAAAAATATTTTCTCAGCAAAGTCCTGGTGTGCAAAAGCCTTTCCTCTCACCTCTGCGTGGCCTGTCTGGGCATCTGGGCGTGCTGCAGACACTTCAGTGAGGAGATTGGACTTAAGGATCCATGAGAGCAGGGGCTGATTTCTCACCACGCTATGGACAGTGACTTGCACAGTGTAGGTGCTAATAAACCTTTGTTAAATGAATACGTAAATTAGTAAATGAGCCACAGAAAAGCCAATTGTCAGGAGCACTGTCTGTAAACAAACACGGGAATAATAAGCTACAGATAGTAATTTAAATATCCATCACGGTTATAGAGGTTATAAGTGTGTATATGTGACTTTGCATTTCCCCAAATCATCCACACAAGCAGAAAGATAAAGGGAAAAAAAGATGTAAAATTAAAATTTTCATAAATAAGATACTGGTTACGTAGACTAAATATGGCTCATGTTATGTAACAGAATATTAGACTCTAGAACTCTGTTGTTCAAATAGGAGACTATGCATGCAATATTGTTCAGTGGAAAAATTGGTTTGCAACGATAGATCAAGTATGACTTCAAATTTGAAAATTGCAAAACCTTTTTGTCCATTTTTTTTATAAAGATTCCAGAAATGTTAACAGTGCTTATCTCTGGATAGTGAGATTATCAGTTATCTTCACTTTCATTGTTTTCAATACTGTCCTTTACCTAATGAAGCTCCCCTCCCTTATACTACATTTATAATCAGAAGAGTAATAAAGTGATTTAAAGATAAAAATAAATCACTCTTTTGCTGTGGCCAAATAGTCTGTATCTCGTTCTAATACTGCCTAGGGAATCTTTAGGAAGTTAATTATGCTGTCTTACACCTGGTTCCCCTACTTGGAAAATACAAATACTAACACTGATATGTGGCATTTCAATTTTACAAGGCAGATAGATGTGTGGATGAAATGGGGTAACACATAAGAAAGCATTTTGCAAATTACAACATACCTGAAACATATAACACTCCACATGGGGATAACCATTGGGATGAGGAGGAAAAGGGGAGAATGAAGAGAAAGGGAAGATAAGAGGTAAAAGCACATGAGGGTGGCCCGTGGTAATATCTGGAGACAATAGAACGCTTCTCTTACAGAACTGTAAACTTTTGTATTACAGAATTGGGGAAATTATAGACTGTTAGGTCCAAGACACTTTCATTCCTGCCAAAGATATGCAAAGATGGCATGTCAGGCTCCATAAAAATTAGTCTGGGTGTCTGGGTGTCTGGCTGTTGTTTCTTTGTGCAGAGGATTTCGGGAAGACACAATACATTCCTTCACTTCCCCCCCCCCCCCCCCCCCCCACACACACACTGAGCTTATGTAAGTCGTGGATATGGGGTAGTGGTTGAACTGATAAATATTCTCCAATTAATTTCTTAAATTAAGTCCTGGCTAAAAAAGAAGATAAAAATAAAAACAAAGCACAGCTTACTGTGCTACTTCTTTCCACACCCACAACATGCTCTGTGTCCCTTGATCCAGTCAGTTTCATGTATTGACCCTCAGTGTCATCATTAGTTAAACAAAGAGTGTTAACTAAATCATCCCAGAAGTCCTGTTGAGTAGTAAAGTTCTATGACTCTAAGATCCCAGTGCTATATAATTATGGTCTTCCCCTTCCACACATCTGTAACATTGGGAATCAGAGCAAAATGATCACTTTTCCAGTAACACAGACATTCCACTGGCCGCTACCTTGATAAATCTCTCTCACCGCTTGCTGGTTTGGCTGACACATTATACCCTATGATGCTGTTACTCTGTTTTACCTTGGGAAACTTATTTAACCTTTACTAGCTTCAGTTTCTTCCTTTGTAATCTGGGAATAAAAAGAGTAACTACTGTGGGTCATTGTGGAGTTTTGTGAGATACTTTATGTAGAATGGTTAGGACAGTGTCCAGCACAACCAACAAATGCAATCCAAATTGTATAGTATCCTTGACGTGACAACTTTTGAATTTTTTCCTAAAAATTTTTAAGCTCAGCACACATGTTATGAGAAGTCCATCACTGAAAGATAGAGTTTGACTCAGAGAACTATTCCTTGATGTAAAACTCTGTCTAGGGAACCACCTCCCATACAATCTAAAGAATGCCATGTTTTTCCATTAAATCTCAAGTAGCTAAAAAGATTATTATTCTTGAGCCTAGATTTGGCTTCATTGTAGCACACAAAAGTTAAATTTGCATTAATGTTACAAACTAAATAAAATAAACCCAAATTAATGTATTGTATTTTACAAAAGGATAAATAGAGCATTTTATTAACTTTTTTTTTTTTTTTGCAGCAACAAAATGATAGTCCACATCTTTTCATTCAACACAACAAAAGCCATGATCACATTACATCACTTTGAGACACAAAGCAAAGGATGTTTTTATTTTCTCAAGGTTCAGGGATGGTTTGCATCTTTAAAACAAATGTTATGTTTTCTATTTGCAGTAGCAGGGGTTTCCAGTCACTAGCACAGTACAATGAACCAATGAACCAATGAACAGATCAAATATCCAGAATAGACAATTAAATACACCAATCATATTTTGCATTGAATTGGGAAATGTGTTATTATCATTTAGAACATTATAAAGATGTCTGATGTCAACTTTTTGAAAGAAAAAAAATCATTCCAACCACCCAGACAGCTACCACAAGCAAAATGAAGATAATATACAGACAGGAAATTGTATGCATTGCACTTATTGCTTGGAACACAAATGTTGCAATTCCTGTTGAGTTATATTAAGAAATGACAAGCAAAATGCCTCTGCCCCCATCTAAAATTCTATGACTCTATGAAAGTAGAAATTGCAGTCCCCTAACCCAACATGAGGTGTATGCTATTTTTGGTTTTTTGTGAAGATTGTTTATTATGTTTTTGTGTATGGATATGTATAAGATATACAGATATATATATATAGATATAATTTTTAATATAATTTATTGTCCTATATATTTAAGACAAAGATCTTTTAAATGGGACTTTAAATAATAAAATTGTCTACTTACAGTATCTCTATTAAGTTTATCTTTTCATATTATATATAGCTCTGTGGCACAAGGTTAATATAGTATTTCATTATTAAGGAAGAAGAATATCTAAACAATTTTCTATTTCTTTTGTTGTTAATATTGCATTTTAAGGGATATATCTCCGTAGTAAATTTCTTATTAGATTCTTTATGGCATGTGTATCTTTTTTTTCTAATGCAAGTTACAACCAGTACAAAGTTGTAATAAAAAATACATTAAAGTCTATTTACTTTTTATATTTTTTTGCAAAAAAGTTATGTGATATGCTACATGAAACGTCAGATTTTGTTGAAGTGTGAAGTGTTTTATACTGTTAGGTAAATGAATGGAAGAACATGAAGCATACCCCCCACTTTACAAGTTCTCTTTCACAGATATAAGTATATGTGCACAAGCATTTCATATAAAACACTGCAAGATATTTCTTTTCAGAACCAACAAAATATTCCACATTATGTAATAACAATAATTATTTAGTACACCTTGCTAGTTGCTAGCCCACAATATTCTTCTCTAATTGAGAGATATATCAACTCTATAATTTATATTCAATAAATGTTGCCAACACCTGATGCAGCCAACATGACACCTTTAGTTTTCTTAACAGGACTTCTGCATGATACCTTGCAATACAGTGTAACAAATATATAAGTGCATTTTGCATGATCAAGTAGCTTTGGCTTCCTAACCTTTGTAGGATGGGATGTGCCAACTGTTTTAGTTGTGCTTTATTAAATGGTGATGAGTTTTAGCTCACATGAATCCAAAGAGTAACTACTTGCTTCTACAATTTTGACCAGTCAACCATTAAATCACAAACGCAAAAATGGATGACCTGAATGGGAATGATGGCATTTCACAACTTCTACAGATTGCACTTGATGGAAACTTCATGAGTTTTTTTCTTTGTTTGTTTTTTTGATTCGTTTTTATAGCAAGAGTTGCCTGGTTGATATGTTTATGTGTTTACATCACTTTTTTTTTTTTTTAATTTTTGTGCAATCACAATTAATGTAATCACAAACACTAAAAATAAATCCAGCAATTAGCTTTGTTATGAATAATCATCTCGGTCCTTATAGGTGTATGAGTCTTGTACTTCTTCTTGTACAAATTCCTCTTTCTTTTCCCAACCATTTGGCCAACCTCCATTGGCCTGTGTTGTGGCACCATAAGACTTGGTGGTACCATAATTTATATAATTTTGAGTAATGTCCCCTGTTTCTTCATCAAGCTCATCTTCATGGATAAATCCACATTTTTCTTCACTTGTTTCTTCAGGGTCTGCCCAGGGTTGCTTCTCTCCTGAGGCAAATATTGCGTAAAATATAACTCCGCCATAGTGGACCAGGGCAGCAATCAGGAAAACATACTGCCACTCTTCACGTGACTGTAGTGACAAAAATTGGCATTGTGAGAACAAACTCCCTGTGTTTAAAAAAGCATAACATCTTCTTTGAATTCACCACCATCAAGCTTTTCATACAATGCTATCTTTAGGGGAAACCCCTCTTCTGAGTATATAAAGCAAATACTGTGATAGAAATTTTCCATAATCCTATGACTTTTCATTAATTAACATTTTTTGTAAATCTCAGGATCTGAAATAAAACTCCAAATATACCTGTGGTCTGCTAATTTTTAAAATACCCATAATCTCTCTTTTAATTTCCATTCATGTACTTATATTTTTTTCCTCCTAATTCTTTTGTTTATTTCTTTTTGGTGAACCATAATTTTGAAGCTCTACATATAAGGACAAATACCTGATAATAATATTCTTCCATGATACCTGTGGATTCTGAATTGACATTTCCAAATAAAGCTCAGAAGACTTCTATTTTCATGTTCTAATAAGCTAAGAGAAAAAAGTTTTTTTGTTGTTTCGCCAAACCAGAAATATAAGAAATATTAAAAGGTGTTGGAAACCATATTGTCTATTGGTTGGGAAAGAAACCTTCCTCAGAGTTCCTCGAGAGAGATTTTCTTCTGAGCCTCATTTATCTCCCTTACTCAGAGGTCTGGTGACAGGACCACAAAGAGAATGTCAAACAGAACACAGGAACTTTTTTTTACCATGAGAGAGAATCTTCTAAAACTAACACTTCCATCTTACCTTATTCTTTGTCATTGCACCAACAATGATAGGGCAAACCATTCCTGACAATGTGCCAACACCATTTGAAATGCCCATTAAGATACTTGCATATCTTGGAGCAATATCCAAGTGGTTAACATTGAAACCTGAAACATACACACAAGCTTAAACTCAGAGAATCCTAAACCTCTTAGAAGTGGGTGACTGTAGAATATTCTCTACCACACTCATCGCCCTCTTTAGAAGATACTAGGGATACAGCCTGTGCTCAATAAGTATTTTTTGATAATCTAGCTCAGGGATATAGTGGGAGTATGAGGTATGATTTCTTACACAATACTTAAAATGTGATGCTCACACTACAGAGAGATTTTCTCTGAAGGAGAAGAAGGAGAAGAAGAAGAAGAAGGACAAGAAGAAGGAGAGGAAGAAGGAGGAGGAGGAGGGTAAGCAGGAGAGAAATTGGTAGTAACAAATCCAAATAATTATTTCTAAATGTTTATTCTTTTTATTTTCTAGTGGAAATATTATGAGTAACTTTTAAACAGTCAGAATATTAAAGAGGAAAGGAAAGTGTGTGTGTGTGTGTGTGTGTGTGTGTGTGTGTGTATTAACAGCAAAAATCAGGGTGTTACATTTATAAATTTAAAAACATATCTTACCAGAAATAGCAAATCCACTGAATCCCACTGCAAGTACCAAGAATGAGATAGCTACACCTCTAGTATGAGAATAGCCAACAACCAGAAGCAGTGTTGCTTCCATGCCAAAACCTTCAGAAACAAACACATAGAAACACTTCACAAATTTGTGTAAATTTTTCCAATGAGCTAAAACTGCTAAAAACGTTCATGCCTATCTGACATAGCAAACCATTTCAGGAAGTCTATTTTAAAAATAATAAGAACAGTATATGCACAGGGATTACTGAAGCCTTTCAATTTAATAAAAACATTGAAGACAATCTTCAGTTTCAGTGGTGGGCAGGGAAAGTTGGTTATGTGGTTACTTAAAACTAGAAATTATGAAAATTTGAAGATAGAGAAATGATTATAAATGAACAACGAAGACACAAATTGTGCTGCATATTTGATACGCACAGAAAAATTTACTCACTCCTGTAGATCAGCAGTTTGTGAGCCAAAATCATGTCCTTAACATCACTTATGTACTTACCACCACAATTCATGATCTTTCTTACTGTAGTTGTTGAAAGAATTTGCTTGCTTCTTAGAAAATCTGCAATCTGCCCTCCAATGGGTACAATAATTGTCATTACCAAGTGTGGCACAGCAGATAGCATGCCAACCTGAAGGGGAAAAAAAAGAAGAGACATATATGTGACCATAAGTAATATGGGCAACTTAATCGTCTTGGTTTTCTGAATCCATCATACTCTTTATGGAAAAAGAAAGGAAATAAAATACTGTCTCCAAATGACCACTTAGTCCTAGAATAAGCAATAACTTCCACAGAATAAATGAGAAAAGCTAAGTAAATTTACTTTTTGTCTTTTGGAAGAGAATGCTTTTTTTCTGTGTGATGAATCAGTAAAATTTGAGTTTATGAATAAATTATCTTGAATCTTATCACAGACTGATTCACATTTATGTGCCCATATTATATTCTTTTTTAAAATTTTTTTAACGTTTTATTTATTTTTGAGACAGAGACAGAGCATGAACGGGGGAGGGGCAGAGAGAGACAGAGACACAGAATCGGAAGCAGGCTCCAGGCTCTGAGCCATCATCCCAGAGCCCGACGGGGGGCTCGAACTCACGGACTGTGAGATCGTGACCTGAGCTGAAGTCGGATGCTTAACCGACTGAGCCACACAGGCACCCCATTATATTCTTAAATGTATTTGGAAAACTTCATCATTAGTGAGTGAGAGAGAGATAGAGACAGAGACAGACTCAGAGGCACAAGAAACATATTGGATAAGGCTGGAAAAGGCTACATTAAAATTTTTTTTTTTTAATTCTTAATAAGGCTAAAAACCTTAAGTGCAATTTAAATGTGTATCTCTTATGAGTTTCATAGTTAGTTTCTAAGCTAAATTTAGCCCGAAAAATGAAAATAAGTTCTTTAATTTTAGGTATTTTCTATGTCAAATGTCAATCTTTTGGTCACATTGTCCTGCAGTGGTATATAGTTTCTGTATTAATTTCATACGAAATAGCTCGTAACTAACCTAGAAGCATCAATTCAACACACATTTTTTGGCCAGTAATTATGTGCAAGGTACTCTTCTCTAGGCATCATGAAGGCAGGAAGTATGAAGAAAATGCATTTTAATTGTATACATGGACTTAGTAAATTTTGAATATAAACATATAAGGAAGTGTTTTCCCTAAGTATAATTTGAAGTACAGTTCTTGGCAAATTATAAGTACTGGGAAAAAGCCTATTATTTGTGTATAAAAACGTCTTCCATGTTAGATCATTGAAAGTTTGAGACAAAGATTGCTGTATTTTACAATGGCATAAGTATAGTACCACAACCACAGAGTCAGGCTGTTACAATAATTAATTGAGATAGTGAATGACTCCTAAATAGCTTAAATATATGAGTTATTTAATTCTATCTCTTTTATCCAGATGAAAGTTTATTATATTCTCTCGTATTGATGAAGAGAGTGTAATTTAAAAGGGCTAAGTGATTTCCAGAACCAAATATTGAGCCATTTTCACCTGAGTCAAAAAACTGGGCTTTTAACAATTTATGGTTAGTACTATTAACCATCTGAGAAAGAAAAATCAAATAAAACCAGTTAACATGTGTGAATACTTTTAGTTCAGTTCAAAACCTGGCATTTAGGATGGCCAACAGGCACATGAAAAGATGCTCCACGTCACTCCTCATCAGGGAAACACAAATAAAAACCACACTGAGATATCACCTCATGCCAGTCAGAGTGGCTAAAATGAACAAATCAGGAGCCTATAGATGCTGGAGAGGATGTGGAGAAACGGGAACCCTCTTGCACTGTTGGGAATGCAAACTGGTGCAGACACTCTGGAAAACAGTACGGAGGTTCCTCAAAAAATTAAAAATAGATCTACCCTATAACCCAGCAATAGCACTGCTAGGAATTTACCCAAGGGATGCAAGAGTGCTGATGCATACGGGCACTTGGTACCCCAATGTTTATAGCAGCACTTTCAACAATAGCCAAATTATGGAAAGAGCCTAAATGTCCATCAACTGATGAATGGATAAAGAAGTTGTGGTTTATATATACAATGGAATACTACTTGGCAATGAGAAAGAATGAAATATGGCCTTTTGTAGCAATGTGGGTGGAACAGGACAATGTTATGCTAAGTGAAATAAGTCATACAGAGAAAGACAGGTACCATATGTTTTCACTCTTATGTAGATCCTGAGAAATGTAAGAGAAGACCAGGGGGGAGGGGAAGGGGGAAAAAAAGTTACAGAGAGGGAAGGAGGCAAACCACAAGAGACTCTTAAAAACTGAGAATAAACTGAGGGTTGATGGGGGGTGGGAGGGAGGCAAAAGTGGGTGATGGGCATTGAGGAGGGCACCTGTTGGGATGAGCACTGGGTGTTGTATGGAAACCAATTTGACAATAAATTTCATATTTAAAAAAAACTGGCATTTAGTAGAGGCTCCACAAATGTGAACGAAGTAAAAGTATAAGCTAAATTGACATTAAAGCAAACATTGCTTTTCAGAACAGCACCTTGAAAAAAGCAGAGTGTTCTTTATTCTTAACTACAGTAGATATATTTAAAGCAACCACTGTGTAGAGAGAAACCATCAGACAAGAAAACATTCTGAAATACACCATGCTGGATTTGTGTAGAGTTGTATGTCGTGTGTCTGATATTCAGAGGCAGACAAAGCCTAAGAGTGACCTGCATTTCTGAAGTCCACACAACTGGCCTGCATCTTGACCAGTGTTTGAGACATCTGAAAAGTTCTCAAATTGAACACCCTTTGCTATTTACTATCTACTCAATAAACATTTTATTCCTTTGGATAAACAAAGAATAAAGCTATGATTATTACTTATTCTTTCAGGAAAACACTGTGGGAAGTACAAGAAGCTAACAATCTCAAGGTTAATGAGACAGAAGTTGAGAATATGTTAGCATGCTGACTTAATATTTGAAGGTACTGAATCTCCAAGTTCCTTAGACAATGTTTATATATTCTGTATGCGACCTAATCAGGGCCAAGTTGCAGAACTTTGAGTAACTTATTCAACTATCTTCTCAGCTTTTGGTGACTTATCATAATTAATCATTTGCGATCACATGTTATCAGAATGATCAAGACTTTTTGGGAGTATCATTATTTATGATAAACACACAGTACTTTGCTCATTATTTTAAGGCTAAATGTTTTTACATCTAAATATAATTAGATATATATACTTAGATAGATAGATAGATAGATAGATAGATAGATAGAGTTTAGATAGTTATATCTATATATAGATATAGTTTTTTATCAGTATATATAGACTATAACTGATTGGTTCTTCATAGAAACTCCAGGTCATTAGACTTTGTGCACCCTCCTCTTTGTGCTTCTCCTCTTTGTGCTTCACAATCTGGATTTCCTCTCTCCCGACCTGTGTCACAGTCCTTGTAGAAATTGGCAGGTTACCACGCAACAAAGAGCAACCACTCAACACTTCTTCTCTGCCCCTAAATGTGAAACTCAAAAGGAATCAATGTCTCCTGTCACCTGTTATCTCTTGTAACCTGACCTCTCAAAGGACTGGTTAATCCAAGCACTGGCCTTCCCTTGATATACCATTTTCAACATACATATGTGTATGTGTGTGTGTGTGTGTGTGTGTGTGTGTGT